TATTGCGAAAAAATAGAATCTGCAAAAAATGGAATTAGAAAAAACAAAAAAGCACATTTGCAGTAAAAACTGTTTTTTTGTTGAGGCTGCAGGGGTGGATAGGTTGTAACAAAGCCTCGTCAATACAGCACCATAACCTCGACATAAACTGAAACGTATCAATTTTCAGTTTTGCTAAATCGAATGAAACCGAAACACCGTTAGCTTTCCAAAATGTTTTTTCCCGCTTTTCAGCTCCAAATTTTAGGTTTTCTGTGCCCACGTTTAATTAGCTATTAATTCCGTTTGTAGTTATCCATTTACGGATACCATACTGATGCATCGCTTGAATCTTTGACTGTTACTATATGGTAAGGCAGTCTTTGCAGGCTCAGGCACAGAAGCAAGATGTTTACATATAAAGCTAAATTTGTGTTTATTTATGTTTTATGAGCTGCTGTGTTTTTTTTTTCTTTTTTTTATTTACGATTATTTATGTTTCCACTTATGGGCTGCTGTTTCCAGGCGTACATGTTGGTTATAAACACGATAATATATAAGCATTCACAATTTTGTGCAGTGGCCGTTGACCTGAAGCTCAAATTTAGGCAGATCGATAACGGGTCAGTTACGACTTCGAAATTTTTGATGTGGACGACAACTAATCTGCTCAGATGACCACAGGTTCAAATTCAAGCTGGCGCTATAAAAAGAGAAATGAGCAAAACACGAACATCAATAAATTTTGCAGTGAGCGACAACCGGATGAATCAGATGACCATCACGGCGCATCTGTTTACTGATAGATCTATATAATTTGCTTTCAGGACAGCTAAGCGTAAAAATGTATGAGTGCGGCTACTCTCTGCTGTGGCTTTTCGCTCAGTTGAACATTCAGATGAGTTCTGTGTGTATTTTTGAAATATTTTCTTACAGTCAGAACCTGCAAAGTAAAAATCTTTCAAAATTTTCCCCTCTTACTATGCATTCTGTTGACCCCTGGTCTGCAAGTCCAACGATGAAGTATCAGGCATTGGGCACTGCAATAACTAACTCATCATCATCATCAATGCGGTCAGTTCAGCTCAATGGCCAGCAACTGTTGCATCTTTAGATCCATCTTTGTTTACCGGCTACAAGTACGCTTATCCGTAAACGTTGTTTACGCCATTCATCAGCGATGCAGTTCACCAAATGTACAGAGATTCGCCTTACCTCATTTGTTACAACAGTTACTCGACCTAACCTTTGAATGATGATACTACCCTGCTTCGATTGATAATTTTCTCCTCTTTCACCCGATCCTCCAATATGGGCCATCCGTAAACACAA